AATAATATAAGAAAAAAAAAAAAGGGATACATGTATGGTGTTTTGGGTTTATTTTGATCGCATAGGTGCAATAAAATTCAACTTTACCAGACTGAATGGAAATATTTTGTACATAATCATGATTTCTTGATGAAATCCATATTCAAATAATTTAGTTTTTTTCTTGCTTCCATCCAAGAAGGGTAGCTGGGTGATTATTTACTACAAATTAAGAAAGAATGAAAAAGACATCACCCTTTAATTTGAATATCACCTCGATAGCATGCACTTACGTATACATAACACCCAACATAATCACCCACTTTCTTGTCTCTGTGTATATGTGTGTGTGTATATATATATATATGATATGATATGATATGATATGAGATGTGATGCTCAACAACGTGTCATATTATCTCTAACAAATTTAACTCATCTTCTTCGTTACTTAAAAGCGTATATAGATATAATGGGAAGATCGCCGTGCTGCAATGATGAGAATCTAAAGAAAGGGCCATGGACAGTGGAAGAGGATGAAAAGCTGACGGCTTATATCAACAAAAATGGTCTTGGAAGCTGGAGATCACTCCCCAAACTTGCTGGATTAAACAGGTGTGGAAAGAGTTGCAGGTTAAGATGGACTAATTATCTGAGGCCTGATATCAAGAGAGGCAAATTCTCTCAGGAAGAAGAAAAACTCATCATCAATCTCCATGCTGTTCTTGGAAACAAGTATAAACAGATACATATATACATATTTGTAGTTATATACACTTTATAATTATGTATAACATATAATTGGCATGGTGGGTGCAGGTGGTCAAGAATTGCAAGTCATCTTCCCGGGAGGACAGACAATGAAATCAAGAACTTTTGGAACACCCACATAAGGAAAAAGCTTCTGAAAATGGGAGTTGACCCTACCACCCACAAGCCCAGAATTGACCTGAATCATCTTCTTCTAGGTCTTTCTCATTTGATTTTTAATGCTGATGATCAGTTTAGCAGTATGATCAATTTGGAAACTGCCCTTAAGTTACAGGCAGATGCTGCCCAATTGGCCAAAACTCAACTTCTCCAAAACCTGCTTAAGTCCATTCTGAGTCCTACAAAGTTACCACCATACTTTCCTAATTTATCTCACAATTACATCAACAATATGACTGAACCAAATTGGAAACTACACAATGATCCAAATTGTAGCAGCAGCAACGCACCCACACCATTATTACAAGAAAATTATGATGAAGGTGAAGCTATGATGAATGAGCTATGGGCGTGTTTTGATCAGAAGGATGGAGCTCATCAATATTTATGTAATGAAAATGGAGAGGAAAATGAAAATCCAGTTTCCAAATTGGTATCAGGTGCTGATGATCAGGATTATAACAATAAAAATAATAATGATAATAATAATACAGATCAAATGGTTAGCAGCAGTACCCAGATGCCTCAGCTCTTATCTGCATCTTCATCCCCAACCTACGACATGTTTCAGACCACTTGTGACAACCTCATCATGGATGATGACGATGCAACCTACTGGAATAACATTCTAGATGATCACGATCAGTACTGTAATAAACTAATTAATTAGGTAATCACATATATATATATATATATATATATTTCTCCTCTTCTTCATCTTCATTTTCTTTTTATAATAGTAATTAATTATACTCGTAATAAGTTTTAACAATTCTGCTTAATTTTTGCAGCTTTACGATTTGAATTGCACCCTTTCTCGGGATAATACATACCAAACGATTGATACATGGAATGAAGATCGTACGTTAATAGCCACGGATGAAGAGATTTTTTATTTTTATTTTTATAAATTTATCATTTAGTTCTGGTATGTTTATATATTTATAAACTTTGTTCCATTGTATGTTAAGTTACGAACACTTTCCAATTGCATATGTAACAATCTTTCTCCAAATTAATAAACATTTTCTTCATTGTTTGGTTAATACATATATATAGCTAACGTGGGTACGTGAAATCCATGCAAATCAGGAAAGACACATATATAAGTTAGGTAATAAAAATAATTACCATTTATTTATTGATATTTAAAATATAAATACTTCAATTTATTTATATATTTTATTTAATTGATAAAATATATAATAAAAAAATAAAAATAATTCAATGTATCTGAAGAATCAATATTTGGTATTGAAAAGTTGTTAATTATATGAAATAGCAAAGGATTAGTAAAACTAAAATAATGGATTAGACCTGTTAATTAAAACGTCAATCATGTCGCCACGATTTCCAACTTCTTTCGGACATATACATTTGGTCTTAAGTGTAACATCAAAGAGTTAATATAATACACTAAGGAATATACCAATTTACTTTGATAATATTTTATATCGTTAATCAGTTATCGTTTAATTGTTGGATTGTAGTGTATTCTAGTAAGTAGAAGTCAGATAAATTAGTTACATTGTTGCGTATTAGGTATTTCATTTACGTATGGATCTAAGCCATTGACTGCTAATAGCTATAATTACCAACCTTATTATTATATTTTTTACTTCACGTTACCTTATAATAATTATAAGCTATATGTTTTCTTAACTTATGTGTTTATAAAATGTAATCAGGCTGTAAATAATTTAATTCAACGTATTTTATAATTACTTAATATAAATTTTTGACTTCTTTGCTTCACCATAACTTATTTAGGTCAGGGTGACATTTATTAAAAATATTAAGTTTACAAACTAAATCTGTCTTTGGTGTATAACTGGACCAAAAATGAACTAAGATAAAAATGTATCTATCCTAATTCTTTTAGTCCGGACTAACCAATATAACTAAGATATATGTTTGATTTAAACTCAATTCGATTTAAACCAAGTTATATTGAGTCTATTGAATTTCATTTGATCCAATCTATTTAGTGTCAAACAAGAAAATAAGATAAAAACAGGTTTTATCATATCAAAACTCAACCAGCCCCTATAAAATGCGAATTTAAATATGTTTTTAATCTAGGATATTTAAAATCTTTTAATAGACAGTGTTGGGTTTCGTGGGTTATTTAATCAGCAACTTATTCAATCATTATATTACACCAATATTAATATATCTATATATTTATACATATTATTTATTTTAAGAAGATACGAAGAAAAAAAATTAAGTAAATTACTTAAATACGAAAAATAAAAACTTTAAAAGTTAAGATTTTTATGATTATTTTTAAAGTTACTTTTGGTAATGTAATAAGTATAATATCAGTAAGAAAGTAAAAGAAAAACACCAAATAAGTGAATATTGTTCTCAACCTAAATACATTATATAAAAATAAATAAATCATTAACATTGTTGCTAATTATTGTTGTATAGCTTTAAAGGTATTATGGAGCTTTAACAAACGCAAGGATGTTTGCATTCATCAATTTTACTATGGACAATGATCTAATTTTACTATGATTATACATCCTTTCCAATAGATTTTTATATATTTCTTTGTGACTAAAATGATCTAGATTTTACAATAATAATTTATTTACCTTTATTATGAGCTAATTTTTTCCTCTTTAATTTTTTTTTTTTTTGTGTAAAAAAAAAAAAAGTATGCTAGATTTTAATAAAATTTTCTTCTTATTCAGAAACACAATACATTTACTTAAATTTAATTAAATTTGATCACAACATGTTGAGATTTAGCTAAATTTAATTATATGAATCTTACTGATAGATTAGTAAATTAAATTTTTTATCTCATTAAAATAAATATTATAGATCAGCTACCAACAATCTATATTACTCTTACAAAATATGAACTTTACATTTTTAAAGATGTTTGAACTCGTAGTTTCAAAGAAAACATAAGAATTTTAACCATTATATAACCATGTTGTTATTTTTTTTTTTGCTCGGTAACTTAAAATTTCAATTTGTTGCAAGTTCGACAATTACTAAGATTATTTAACATGGATTATTATGTGAATTCACATGTTTACTAAATTCTAAGCTTCTTAATGAAATTGATGCTTGTATCACTTTCTTATAGTGTAATGCTAGATACTTGAATCACCTAGATGTTAACTTTAAACTGGTTAGGAATAAAGGAAGGAACTTTTCTACTTAATTGTAAAATCAAGAGAGACAGAGCAACAACTTAGAGACTTCACTTATGACTTTTATCAAACGAGTAATGAGTAGAAAAAAGAAATGATGAAGAACTGATCTTATCGTATTATTTCCAATCAGCAAATTTATACACCCAAGTTACAACCAGAAACCTACAAAATTAACAGCTAAATACCCGTGATAAACACATTCCTAAAATATCTACCACTCACCACTATCCATAAGACTAGGACAATTAATTTAAATAACTTAAAACATAAAAGAGCATGTGATTAAATAAAGAAAACATGTGACTTAGTAGATTCTGTATTATATGTCATAGACTACACCATGTCTTATAAGGTAATGACTGGATCATATTTCTTTAAATCATATTTATTCGACTTAAGTAAAATAACTTAACTTCATTAATAATAAAAGAGTAGCAGAAACGTTACATTTCTTAAATACAAAGTATAAACATATCTACAAGATTCTAAATTTCTTTATTTATATTAATAAACAAAAATACGAAACAGTAACCTTAATATTAGAGTCTAGGCTTTAGAGATTTTCTCTGTATCATCGCTTACTCTGCAGCGGTATCTTCTGTATCTGAGGGGTGATAGGAGGGATGAGATAAAATATGTCAATAAGTAATATTATGAAATCACAATATAATACATGTAATATATAGTTTCTTTACACACAACAGAACATATATCATATTACCTTTCCAAAACATATACGAATCAAAAGACGAAAGCATAAATCATAAAACAGATGCATGTTGTATACTTCATCACTATTATGGATGATCAATCAGTTACCATACATTATGCATAGGCACATATACTTATCACTTGTTTCTCATGTAGCCGAATACAGAACGACATACATGAGTACGTTGAAACACTGCTACCCCCCCCCCCCCAAACACGAAATGGTTAAAGCACGCACATCAGACTGTTTTTCCATACACCCGAATACGAAACAGTTTTGTATGGGTATCCACTTATCACTTCGCCAATACACCGGAACACGGAAGGTTATGTACGGTCAGATTGAAGTCTAGCATAATGCACGTGCTTTCGGATAATTTCTTTCTATAATGAGTGATACACACATATCAAAATCACATTTCAAAAACACAAAGCGAAATAACATTTATAATGAAATAAAACTTTAACAAATACTTACTTAACAAATAGGAAAAACAAATTAAACATGTGCATATTTATACTGAAAATACGTAAAATACTTCAAAACTACGTAAGCTATAAATTCATAATATTCACTTATCTTAATTTTTTAGCAGTCATAGTCTTAATTCCGGTAGAGTTCTGCCTTTATTTATGACTTTTTTTAAAAAAATTCGATAGAGTTTCGAGACGATTTTTGGTCACTTTCTTGACTCAAAAATATCAAATACAATAATAAAAAACTAATATAAAAAATTAAAGAGAAACTAAACTTCAAAACTTAAGAAAAAAATTATATTTCTAACAGTTTATAGCTTCTTTTTTATCATGAACCTTATTCTTCTTCTCTTCGTCTTTCTTTGCTTTCACAAATTTAGCACAGTTTTTTCAAGGTTTTTATCTAAAACTTCTAAATACTCTTAAATATCATATACTTCGTACTCCTTTTCTTTTTCACTTCTATGCTTCTTACTATTTT